CTCTCTCTCTCTCTCTCTCTCTCTCTCTCTCTCTCTCTCTTTCTTTTTATCTAACGGTCAACCCTCTCGTGACTTGGAAATCTATTTTCGACCTTTCAGAGGGGAAAAGAGGCTTTTGGACGCAAGATCGTTCTTTGAGAAATTGATTTTTGCCTCGACATTCATTGTGTTGAATGTGATTATATATGGAATACGGGACTGTTGGGTTTGTCTTTTTAAATATTTGAAAAATAATGGATTTGTTTGTAAGGGTTTTATAACAATAAAATTGTGTGCTAATTTTTTTGTTTAATTCTTCTTATTTCGTTGTACGAAAGAAAGGAATTGCAGGTTATTTGAGTGTTACAAAAGGGAAAATTACAGCCCAATACGATATAATAGAATGTAAATTCGTGTCATTATAAAACGCATTTTCAATCGTAATGTTTATGCATTTATGCAAAATTTGTAAAAACCTACGGAATAATATGCAAAAGAGCATATTTAAAGCGCGGATTATAATATTTGAATAATAAATCACTATTTAAGATCACCATTTCTTTTCTCATATCCATGAAAATCTTGCATCCGGTCATCCTTTGAAATACAAATAACTATGTCAAAATTGAATCAATACTCTCAAGAAGTTAGAACGATTAATTTACTGTAACAAAAATTCAATCAATCGCGAGAAGAAATAAGAGTAAAGCTTTTAAAATTTGAAATCGATTGGCCTAAAAAACGAGATATGAAAAAAGAATCTACAAAATTTTAAAGAATAATCGAAATGAATGTATTTGCAAAGAGTTGCAAATCCAAATATTTAAAAAATATCGATGGATAATTTAATACGCACATCACAATCATCGAAAGTGATCCTCTTTCCCTGGATAACAAAAATCGGCATCACCTATCTTTTCCCGCGCGGAGAAGGAACATTGACGGTGAACAATATCGTAAAACGCGGCGGAATCGGATATTCCTCCACCGGAAGCGGGTCTTAAAATTTAATAAGGCGAAACTGCGCGCGTTCCAAGGCGTCAATACGCTTGGCGGATTACGGGGGACGTGGCGTGATATCGATGCACGAAAGAAAGAAAGAAAGAAAGAAAGAAAGAAAAGGAGGGGGAGAAGGGGATAGAGAAGCACCTCAGAATTTTTCCACGTCGTCGATCGTGACTGCGAACGATATAGTTTAATTCTGACGAACGTGAATCCGCGTCCTGGAACGTCGTTTACAAGCCATTTTCTTTTTTCTCTTTCTCTCTCTCTCTCTCTCTCATCTTTTTAATATCGAGCCACGCTCACAATCCGTGAATACCGTTCCTCGAAGCTTCGTTTCTTAAATCGTTCTTCTTTTTTCTCTTTCTCTCCCTTTCCTTTAATCTCTATTTTCCGAGAAACGAAGCAATCGCATCGCGCCAGACGAAATTGAAATCGATTGGAAGTAAAGGGTGTTGTTAAGTGGAGAAGGATCGAAGGTCTTGGGAATTAATAAAGTGGTTTATTGTACTTAAACGGGCGTAATAAAATATCGATTGATATAACGAGGTTTGATTTGTAATTGGAGGGATGAGAGGGGGGGAAATGGGATGACACTTACATTTAGATGGATTAGTAAAGAAACAATAAGTTTAATTTGTATTGTTTGTAAAATGAATTTAATTCGACGAAGAAAAATAATAATTTTAATTTAGAAAATCACGAAAATGAATTTGTTTCTTTCTTTTCCTTTGAATTACTAATGAAATTTAATTTATTTTATAATATTTTTAGTAATTTATTAGACGCTTGGAAATTTCTCTTTTTGATAACATGTTTTTTTCTTTTCTTTTCAGGTGAACTTTGTCGTCCACTGAATTGCAAGAAGAAGGATTTGTGTCTTCTTAAGGATACATTCACCGCTGTTTGTGTTTCCAAGAAGGAACTTGAAAAATCAGGGTAAGTGACTTATATATAAGATACAAAATAATTCTGATAACGAACAATTTTTATAAAAAATTTTCCCCATTTCCTCATTGATACGTGTCTTGAATTGATCCTTTCGCAATCCCGTTCTCCTATCTGAAATTCTAGCTAGAAATTAGCTAGCGTGAAGCTTGGACACCACACTGAACAGTGATTGACGTATCATAAGACCCTCGAGATTGCCAGAGATTCAAACTAGGACCATGAGATTGCAAGATGCTTTCCAAATTAATCACGTGATGCTTGTATCGCAATGTGTCTTGAACGTATGCAAGATCTAAGAATCCTCCTTTCCATCTTTCTCCAAATTTTCTCCTTGAATTAAAATATTATATTCAAATCATTTCAATCTTCATTATTCAAACTCTCTTACTGCACTCTCTGTGTATATTTTCAACAATATTTTCACTCCCCTTTAATGAAAATAATATTCAATCTTCATAAATTAATATTCAATCTGAAATGAAGAAGAAATCATTGAGATAAAAAGCATTGAAAAATTATTCTCCTCCTCGTCCAAAATGGAGTTCCAATAACAATGGAACTTCCACCGCGTATTTCAAATTTTTCCCAAACTCGGTTGATAGATCCAATCCAATCCGGCCATCTCTGCAGACGATCAAAATAAACAGTTCTGTCAGAATTAATCGTTTCGATCACCCCGCCCCGTCCATAGGCTTGTCCGCGGCCAATGATTAACGACGATATTATCCAGCGGCGGCGTTAAACCGAGCGAGAGGAGGGGACGCGTGGAAAGGGAAAGAGACGGTGACAAAGGTGAGGCGATCATTGATTTCCGAGCGTGCTTATTGCCAGTTAAACAGTGATTGCAGCTTTCCACGTGGATATGGTGGCATTCACCTGGAATTTATCTTGAACGCGCGAGACATTGAACGGCCTTCACGGCAAATTAACGGCAGAGGACGTCATAATTGTTCCTGGCTGCTCTTCTGCCCGCTTCGAGCAACGATCCGCGCGAATTCGAGGGCTTATTATTAACGGAATTATAACTGAGGGAGGGATAAGGGGTGGAGGAAGGGGTTTGCTGCGCGACAACGTTGATCGGGATTAGATGAGGTGCGAATGATGGCGTGAAATGTGTCTGGATCAGTCGGGATAGTTGTGACACGTTTAATTGATCCGAAGTGATCGTGTCTGGTAATGGTATGGAAATGTTTGGAAGATGTGACGGAGGTTGAAACATTATCGACAGCTGTAAGGTTTTGTTAGCATTATAAACGTTGGAACGTTTTTGATCATACGGAGCGTGGATTTTTTAATCTTTTTTTTTTGGATTATGTATTTGTACAGTAGAATTTTTATAATTTTTATTTTGATATAATTATTAATCGAGTTATAATATTGTAGAATATAATATTGGTATAAGTAATAATACATTTTGTAGATATTTGAGTCGTATTGGAAATTATCAACTTCATTTTTAAATAAATATTTCATAAGAAATATTTTCAAATGTTTGGAGAAAGAAATATTGATATATAATAAAAAATATTGATATATAATTTTTAATTTGTTAGAGATGTTTTAGAGAAACATTGTATGTTATTTTAAAATCATTTTAATCGTTGAAAATTTAATCAACATCAAAATGTTCAAAGCACGCTTTCTAATTTCTCGAGACAGTTCCATAGATTCATCAGCTTCGTGACTTTATTACCTAGGTCATCTCATCGGTCACCATCAAACTTTATCTTCCACTCCGCTCCCATATTCCATTTTCTCCAGAAATACAAATTTGGCCATTCCGTTCAATCAAATTCCATCGGATTCAATCCGATTTAACTATCCTTTCAAACAAGTTACATTAAACTTCCGTTACTTGTTGCTAAAATAATATATGTCAATTTCCAACTTTAATCAACTAATCCAAAGACACCAAGTTGCCAACTGTTATACAAATTTGAATACTAGATAATAGTACAATTAATAATAAAATTTATAATCCGCCAATTAATATTTTTCAATCTCCATTAATTTTTCAAAATTAAAACGAATTATATAAATGATGAAATTAAAAAAAAAATTTAAAACCCGCCAATTAATATTTTTCAATCTCCATTAATTTTTCAAAATTAAAACGAATTATATAAATGATGAAATTA